AATAATCCACAAGCTACCCAGACGTAATGGACATTTCTCTGTCCACACTGTACTTCAGTGTATGGCTAAAATAGTTGAAAACTTCCTCTTTCTTGAAAAACCTCTCTGCTTTTAACTTATATGGCATTCCCTGGCTTTTCTTTCTCCCTCTGTAATTGCTCTTTCTCAGGCTTCTTTTACTCTTCACAGCTTCTTAGTGTCAGTATTCTCTGGGCTCAGTCCTCTGTTGTCTGCTCTTCTTTCTCTTCTCAGAATTTCATCCACCTCCCTGGAACTTTAAATACCAGCTGTATGGTGGTGGCACCACATTTAAACCTCTAGCTAGATACTTCAGATTTCTTGATTCCGTGCCCCACCCCATCCTACGACCCTGTTGACCCACTTCTTGGCAAGTGGTTTTGCTGCCCTACTTATATGGCTGACGAAGTCAGAATCTGAAATTCATGTTTGATTCCTCTTTCTCCTTGATTTTTTTAAATATAAATTTATTTTATTTATTTCTGCCTTCATTGGGTCTTCATTGCTGCACGCAGGCTTTCTCTAGTTGGGGCGAGCAGGGGCTACTCTTCGTTGCAGTGTGCGGGCTTCTTATCGCGGTGGCTTCTCTTGTTGGGGAACACGGGCTCTAGGCGCGCAGGCTCGGTAGCTGTGGCTCGCAGGCTCTAGAGCGCAGGCTCAGCCGTTGTGGCGCCGGGCTTAGTTGCTCCACAGCATGTGGGATCTTCCCGGACCGGGGCTCAAACCCACGTCCCCTGCATTGGCAGGTGGATTGTTAACCACTGTGCCATCAGGGAAGCCCCTCTCCTTCATTCTTTCCAGTCGTTCCAGTAGCAACTCTTTTCGATCCTATCTCCAAAATCTATCTCGAATCTACCCATTTACCTTTATCGCCATGGCTGCAAGAGTAATGCATGCCTCTCTCATCTCTTGCTTATACTCACCTATTGTCCTCCCAACTGAGATTCCAGTTTTCCCCCTCCCAGTAGCCACCCAGCTTCCAGCCAGTCTTCTTAAAAGTAAAAGTGATCCTGTCAATTCCCACTTTGAACATTGAAATGGTTTCTCATTACTTTAGCCAGCAGCCTCTGCAAATACATTCCCTGGAGTCAGACCCTGGATTCGCCACTTTCTGGCTGTGGAATCTTAGGTAAATTGCTTACTCCCTCCATGGCATAGAATTTGGTGGTAAAGTTAAGCAAGATAATTCATGTAAAGCACTTATAACTGTGCCTGGCACTCAGTAAATGTTTACAATTATTGTTAATGTTATATGGCCTACAGAGCCCTGTGTGATCAAACTTCTCTGGGCCTAAGGTCTCAGACTAAACCCTTGAGAATGCGTTTCGTAATGACTTTCTTCAAAGTTGGGTTCTCCTTTATTTTTTCTCTACCTCAACAACTTATTTATTTACTTTATGCTACTTACCATCTCTGATTATCTTTTTTCAGCCTGTCCTCTCCCCTAGACTATAAGCTCCATAAAGAGGGGTCATGTTTACCTTGTTCACCATTTTATCTATAGGATATAACACAGTTCTTGCTATATTATGTATTTATTGATAAAAATAATTAAAGAATCTCACATTCTTAGCAAGACCTTTTGGAGATTTATTTTTTGGCCAGTTTTTCATCCTGATTCCATTTGACTTAGAAAAGAACATTTCTTTATAATGCTGTAATTTGTTTTGTATGTCATGAGGGAGAATCTTCTTTATCTCCTCCCTTCAAGTTTCTTATGTAAGGACTAAACTGGGGAAGAGAGCAAGATGTTGATAAAGAAATTTCTCTGGTTTATAAGATAAGCTTTCTCATATTTTAATATTGCACTTTTAGTGTGTGGAATAACTTATGACTCAAAAAAGGAAATTTTGAAGCATGATATTGTGCAATATCAACATCATCTATTCTGGTTGTTCACTTTGGATCCCACCCAAAGGATATTTGTTATTGAAGTACCTGAAAGGCCTTAAAATAGTCTTTCAGAATGAACATTAAGGATGGCATTATAGACACATATTGCAACTAAAATTAAATTATATGTGTTAATAAAAAGAGTATTATTCTTATTAGGGTATTATCTTAAACCCTTTTCTAGTTTCTAATATATTTCTAGTCAACATACAAGTAATTGGAAAGAGTATACCTAATAGAAAGTGGGAGCTTTTCTTCCAGACCACAGTAATATCAAATAGTTGCTCACAGTTTTCCTTTGCTTCTAAAATACAAAACTTCTTTAAAGATACAGTCTACTATATAAATCTTTAAACAGAAGTATTTAATATATTTTTCACCTTGGTACTTTCAATATTTATAATACATTTTTGCAAGTCAGTATGCTCTTTTGGTTAGATCCTGCTCATAAAAATATTTTCTTTAGAACAAAAAATATTTTCAACAAAGAAAAGGGAATTTTTTTAGTATATACCTTACTGTTATTGAATTAATCATCTTAGGCTTTGCTCTTGGCTCATTGGTTACATAATCTTGGTTACATAAGCAAACTTTTTTAATGTTCCAATTTTTCTGTGAGATAAAATGAAGAAATTGAAAGCTTACAGTCTTTAGAAGTCTTTGAAAATATTGATAACAGGAATCAGATGTTCAGTCAAAATTACTGATATGTTGGTTTGATTAAGGGAATATAAAATTAATTTTTCCTAATAGCTTCTGCCTCTCTAATATACATGAATGTGTTGTCTTTGATTAATTAAGTCTTTGATTAAATAATAGAAATATCTTTTTCAGCTCACTTAGTATTCTTTTAAATATTGTTATTTTAAAAATTTGTTATCTCAAAGTTAGAAGTACATTTACTGAAAATTTTTTGTTTTTTTAACCAGGACTAATAATGAAAAGTTCAGCATACAATGGACAATTCTCTTAACTAGCCTTTCCTCTTCCATTTTTCCTCCCTTCCCTTCTGTTGCAGTGAAGACTGTTAAATTAAATCAGGTCTGTGCAGCATTATGCTTCATGCTTGGTTTTATTTGAGTGGAATTATTGACTTCACGTATAGCAAGCACTTCACTTATATGGGTTAGCTGAAAAAAATCAGTAGTAAAACAAAAGCCAAAAAACCTCAGTAAAACCATATGATACCCACACAGATAAATGACCTTTAGGCTTAAAAATTTTTCTAAAAACCAGTTAGTTTTTGTTTCAGGTATTTTTCATTAGTTCATAATATAATATTAACATTAGGAAACAAGCAAGAATAGTTTTGATCTGACTCCTAGAATGTACTTTAAAACATGGTGGGCTCAAGGTGGCAAATAAAAGTAGACCTTTTCTTATATAGGGAAGTACTAGGAATAATGAGTGATTGGCAGTGTCAAAAGCCAGAACAAACACCTGTGTCCCATAGAATGTGGTGGTCTAGAACCATTGGAATCATAGTTCTTCCAGGAGTTGATAAAATACTCTGTCAACAGCCGATTTAGCCATTGGGGCAGGGACAAGATCTTAGATATATAGATTTGTCTAAATATCTTTTAGACAAATCTATATATCTTAGATTACCTTTTTGTGGAACACCTCAGTTGAATATGTAGAAATTACTTCCGTTTATTTTACTAATCTTTGTTAGGCTGGAACTTTTAGTTTTCCTCCTTTTATGTAAATGAATGAAAACAATTCCCATATTTCCAAGGAAACAGAAAACATCTAATCCAAGCTAGTCTTCCCACCATGTTTGTTGGCAGACTTACATCTGTCAGAGGGTAAATAGTCTCTTATTTTTCTTTGTACTTTTTATTCATGTAAAATTCCTTAAGGTCCATGACAGAGGTTAAATTCTCTTTAAATATTTTTGTTTTAAAAGAAGTATTATGGTTTAATCGAAAATATGTAGAACTTAAAGTAAGAAGGATTGGTTTTCCTCCTTGATAAGTTTATCAACATAAGCTTGGGCAAATTGTTTTAACCTGACTCACTTCTTGGTGGTGAATTTGAAATGAATGACAATTCCTTCAGAATTTACTTCATGGGCTTTGCAATTATTAAATAGTATGATTGTAAAAGTATTTGGTAAACTGTGGACTGTTTCAGTATTGATGATAGTATTATAAACTTTACACGCAGCCTTTATAAACTCATGAATATGGAAAAGAGCAAGACAAATTTCCTTTAATAAGAAACTTTCCTTTTAGTTAGTGGGGTGTTATAGAGTGGTGTTGACTATGTGTAATATAAATAGTTATAACAATTTAATTATCCCTGTTACTGGACATAAACTAGTTTTTGCATACTGTTATTCTTAAAAAGAAGTAAATTCAGTGATCTTACATTCTTTTGTGGAAAAATACCTTAAGCCCATATTAAATAATATTTTTTTCAAAATATTTATTTTAAATATTTTAAAGTAAAACTTTAGTATTTTAAAAATTAACATTGACCAAAACAGAAAGCTTTCCAGGAATTAGCAAAATAGATTCATATTCACTTTTTGTCAAAGATATGATGAGTACTTTTTTTTCCATAGGCAGCCACCTTGCTAGCCCATCTGCCCTATTAGTATTGTAGTGTTAAAGGTTAGCATAAATTACTATTAATCACACCTTCCTAGTTCTTAATTTAGTTAATAACCTTTGGAATTACAGAAAAACAGAATGTGTGTTTGTGTTTGTTCTATGTATAGAATAATAATCTACCTAGTATTGAAAATAGGCCAGTATAAATGACTGTGAATTTACCACCTTTCAGTTGACATTTATATTGCTTCACTCTTAGAGAAAAATGCTAGACACTGCAGACCCCTTGAATGAGTCACTTTGGGGATTCTTTTTAAGAGAGGTATAAGCACTTAGAATGATTTTCTTTGTTACGGTGGCAGCTTTTTTTTCTAAATATCTGCAAGACTTGAGTGATCCAAGTTTGTTCTTGTTGTGACAAATGAAGTAAAATTTAGTTCTTTCTACTTGAGCTTGGGCTCTAAGTGATTTCTGTAGATGAAACTTCAGTCAGTTTTTAATATTTATGTGTTCACCCATTTCATTTTTTAGGAGATTTTATGAAGATGGAGCAATTGTCTTGGGTGAGGAAGCAAATATGCTTGCTGGCATGCTGCTTGGGCTCAATGCTATTGATTTCAGGTATTTCATCTAACTATATGCATTATGACTTAAAATTATTCTACCTCATAATAGTTTCTACTTATGATCCTTTTCTTTCAGTTTTCTAAGTAAAGCACACAGTTGGGTATTGATTTGATTTATGTTGTTCCCTTTCGAATGAGATCAGTTTTCTAAATAGGTTTGCTCTCAAAAAAGAGGCTGTCTCAAACTTAGGGAATTAACTGACAACCTTGTTCTCTAGTTGGGGTAAAAAGAAAGCTTGGACCACATCCTGCCAAGCAGAGAAGTCATGCACTCTGGTAGCACTGAAGGAAGGTTTTGGATCTCATCTCTTAGTATTTTTCCACTACTGCTTTAAAATGAAAAAGAAATACACTAAAAGAGGATTCAAATCCAGAAAGATTTTCATTGTCTCATGTGGTGAGGTAAAGAGGATATTGACAGGCTATCTTAGGTATGTTATGTTTCTTGTTTTGTATCTAGAATCTTAAAAATTTTGTTAATATTTGCTTTTATTATCAACAAGATGAATTGATTTCAGAATAATATTACAAGTACTAAAAATGGACATTGTAAGTTCTGTTTAGGTTGATGGCAGCATCCTTTTGCATTTCTTTAATTGATCTAAGATTTTACATTGTACTAGAAGTAAAAGGTTTGTCTAGAATAAGAACTGAAACATGAGACTGAAGGAAGTATTATATATATATATATATTTTTTGCGGTACGCGGGCCTCTCACTGTTGTGGCCTCTCCCGTTGTGGAGCACAGGCTCCGGACGCGCAGGCTCAGCAGCCATGGCCCACGGGCCCAGCTGCTCCGTGGCATGTGGGATCCTCCCGGACCGGGGCACAAACCCATGTCCCCGCTTCGGCAGGCGGACTCTCAATCACTGCGCCACCAGGGAAGCCCTATATTTTTATTGAAATATATCACTTAAATATATCACTTAAATATATCACTTAAAATATATCACAAGAATGTTAACAAATAAGTATAAAACTTAAATGAAAATCTAGTTTTCATTTTTAGTTCATATTTTGAACTACAAAATAATGCTACCCAGTTTCACTGAGGTTAACTTTTTCTAGTAACTCACTTCTTTTTCAAAATACTTTTCACTTTGTAAGTGTAACTTTCCTCTATTTAATAAAATTTGATAAGTGGGATTGGGTTAATTAGCTTAATTCTTTATGGTGAACGTGATGGATGCAGTTTTGAAGGTTGTTTTTATGATCCCTCTAAGGGTGTTAACTTTTTACATGGCATGTTGCTGGCTCTTTCTAAATACTTCACAACTTCATTTATTTTTTGGTTGGAAAAAAAAAACTGGGTTAAGAATCTAAACTCTTGGCTTATTGTAACCCACTGATACTGTATAGAGAGAAAGTGTCTTAAAGATGCATTAGTAATGTTTCTATAAATGAAGGAAAGCCCAGGTAAAATGTTGCCACTTCGATTCTTTCCTTAGTCAATTCTGGAAAAATACATACTGCACCCTTGTTATTAGCATATTAGAACAAGTATTTCAACAGGCAAATTTCCCAAAGAAACCAGAAGGTAGTGGTTCATATATGAATTTTTTTCTTTTTTCTTTTTTTTTTTTTTAATTAATTAATTGTATTTATTTATTTTTGACTGCACTGGGTCTTCGTTGCCGCTTGCCGCTTCGTTGCCGCTTGCAGGCTTTCTCAAGTTGCGGCTAGCAGGGGCTATTCTTCCTTGCAATGCGCGGGCTTCTCATTGCCGTGGCTTCTCTTGTTGCAGAGCACAGGCTCTAGGCGCGCGGGCTTCAGTAGTTGTAGCAGCCTGGGTCGGTAGTTGTGGCTTACGGTCCAGAGCACAGGCTAAGCAGCTTTGGCGCATGGGCCCAGCTGCTCCGTGGAATCTTCCCGGACCAGGGCTCAAACCCATGTACCCTGAATTGGCAGGCGGGCTCTCAACCACTGTGCCACCAGGGAAGCCCCATGAATTTTTTTCTAATTAGACCTTTTTAGGAGATATTAAGTGTCACCTGAGAATTTGTAAATGTGAACCACAAGGCTTCATTCGAAAATTCTCTAGCGATGTCTTAAGAATTTAATAAAGACCCAGATAGTATGAAATAAATAATGTTTGAACAGATTTCTCAGTAAATTTTACTTTTGCATGATATATTTACGTAACAGTGTTATTAACTCATACAAGCCTTTGTTATTGATATGGAAGGTAGAATATCTTTATGAGGTGTTTATTAACAGTCACATTTAAATTACAAATAAAAAATTCACCTGCAATTTGATGAAACAAATGTCTCTAACAAGAGATTTTTTTATAACACTTTGATTTAAACTTTTATGTATTAATATATTTACTGTCTATTGTCTTAGCTTCTGCCTGAAGGGAGAAGGATTAGATGGCAACTTTCCTGCTGTAATAGACTATACACCATATTTGAAGTTTACCCAAAGGTATTTGACATTTTGAAATATGTTATTGAAATCTTAATTCGTAATTGAATGTCTTGTGCAGTATATTCATCTGATTAAAACTACTTTTTGTGAAACATTTATTTCAGTATCAGAGATCATTCAAAAATATAAACTCCAGTTGTGTTTTTAGTATATATGTAAATATGTAGTTTTTACATAATTGTAATCCCAGTGTAAATATAGTTTTTAAAAAATAGCGTGTATTTCTACTGCTGTAGTCAATATAACTTTAATAGCTCTATAATAGTCCACTGAGATTACAAAACTATAATTCATTATTGAAATTGTTTTTCACTTATCTCCATTGTAATGAAAAGAATAATGAACATTTTTGTGCAAATAAATTTTCCTTTTGTTTCTGTTGTGCATTTATAGAGTTATTCAGGTAAGTACAGTGAAAAATTTTGTGGCTCTTAAAGTCTGTTCTTAGAGTTGTATCAACTTATCCTACTACCAGTATTTTGTGAGAGTTATGGATTTTGCATAATCTCATCAGCATTGAAAATTAATCAGATGAAATCTAAAGATATTCTGAAGATCTTCTTGCATAATTGACTTCCTGAATAGAATAATGATCTTTATATACTTCTTTTTTTTTTCACATCTTTATTGGAGTATAAATGCTTTACAGTGTTGTGTTAGTTTCTGCTGTACAACAAAGTGAATCAGCTATATGTATACATATATCCCCTCCCTCTTGCGCCTCCCTCCCACCCTCCCTATGCCCCCCCTCTAGGTCGTCACGAAGCATCGAGCTGATCTCCCTGTGCTGTGCAGCAGCTTCCCACTAGCTATCTACTTTACATTTGGTAGTGTATATATGTCAGTGCTACTCTCTCACTTCATCACAGCTTACCCTTCCCCCTCTTGTGCCCTCAAGTCCATTCTCTACGTCTGTGTCTTTATGCCTGCCCTGCCACTAGGTTCATGAGTACCACTTTTTGAAATGCCATACATATGCGTTAGCATATGGTATTTGTTTTTCTCTTTCTGACTTACTTCACTCTGTATGACAGATTCTAGATCCATCCACCTCACTACAAATAACTCAATTTTGTTCCTTTTTATGGCTGAGTAATATTCCATTATATACATGGGCCACATCTTCTTTATCCATTTATCTGTCAGTGGACATTTAGGTTGCATCCATGTCCTGGCTATTGTAAGTAGTGCTGCAATGAACATTGTGGTACATGACTCTTTTTGAATTATGGTTTTCTCAGGGTATATGCCCAGTAGTGGGATTGCTGGGTCATATGGTAGTTCTATTTTTAGTTTTTTTAAGGAACCTCCATACTGTTCTCCATAGTAGCTGTGTCAGTTTACATTCCCACCAACAGTGCAGGAGGGTTCCCTTTTCTCCACACCCTCTCCAGCACTAATTTTTTCTAGATTTTTTGATGATGGCCTTTCTGACCAGAGTGAGCTGATACCTCATTGTGGTTTTGATTTGCATTTCTCTAATGATTAGTGATGCTGAGCATCTTTTCATGTATTTGTTGGCCATCTGTATATCTCCTTTGGAGAAATGTCTGTTTAGGTCTTCCACCCATTTTTGAATTGGGTTGTTTGGTTTTGTGATATTTAGCTGCATGAGCTACTTATATATTTTGGAGATTAATCCTTTGTCCATTGTTTCATTTGCAAATATTTTCTCCCATTCTGAGGGTTGTCTTTTCGTCTTGTTTATGGTTTCCTTTGCTGTGCAAAAGCTTTGCAGTTTCATTAGGTCCGATTTGTTTATTTTTGTTTTTATTTCCCTTACTGTAGGAGGTGGGTCAAAAAGGATCTTGCTGTGATTTATGTCATATACTGTTTTGCCTGTATTTTCCTCTAAGAGCTGTATAGTGTCTGGACTTATTTAATCCATTTTGAGTTTATTTTTGTGTATGGTGTTAGGGTGTGTTCTAATTTTATTCTTTTACGTGTATCTGTCCATTTCTCCCAGCACCACTTATTGAAGAGGCTGTCATTTCTCCATTGTATATTCTTGCCTCCTTTATCAAAGATAAGGTGACCATATGTGCGTGGGTTTATCTCTCGGCTTTCTATCCCATTCCATTGATCTATATTTCTGTTTTTGTGCCAGTACTATACTGTCCTGATTACTGTAGCTTTGTAGTATATATAGTTTGAAGTCAGGGAGCCTGATTCCTGCAGCTCTGTTTTTCTTTCTCAAGATTGCTTTGGCTATTCAGGGTGTTTTGTATTTCCATACAAATTGTAAAATTTTTTGTTCTAGTTCTGTAAAAAATGACATTGGTAATTTGATAGGGATTGCATTGAACCTGTAGATTGCTCTGGGTGTAGTACACCCATTTTCACAATATTGATTCTTCCAATCCAGGAGCACAGTATATCTCTCCATCTGTTTATGTAACCTTTGATTTCTTTCATCAGTGTTTTATAGTTTTATGATTACAGGTGTTTTGCCTCCTTAGGTAGGTTTATTCCTAGGTATTTTATTCTTTTTGTTGCAATGGTAAATGGGAGTGTATCCTTAATTTCTCTTTCTGATCTTTCATTGTTACTGTATAGGAATGCAAGAGATTTCTGTGCATTAATTTTGTATCCTACAACCCTACCAAATTCATTGATTAGTTCTAGTAGTTTTCTGGTGGCGTCTTTAGGATTCTCTATGTATAGTATCATGTCATCGGCAAACAGTGACAGTTTTACTTCTTCTTTTCCAATTTGTATTCCTTTTATGTCTTTTTCTCCTCTGATTGCTGTGGCTAGGGCTCCCAATACTATGTTGAATAATAGTGGCGAGAGTGGACATCCTTATCTTCTTCCTGATCTTAGAGGAAATGGTTTCAGTTTTTCACCATTGAGAATGATGTTCGCTGCTGTGGGTTTGTGATATATGGCTTTTATTAGGTTGAGGTAGGTTCCCTCTATGCCCACTTTCTGGAGAGTTTTTATCATAAATGGGTGTTGAATTTTTTTAAAAAATTGTATTTATTTATTATTTATTTTTGGCTGCATTGGGTCTTTGTTGCTGTGCGCAGGCTTTCTCTAGTTGCGGCGAGCAGGGGCTACTCTTTGTTGTGGTGCATGGGCCTCTCATTGTGGTGGCTTCTCTTATTGCGGAGCATGGGCTCTAGGCACACGGGCTTCAAGTTGTGGCACGCAGGCTTCATTAGTTGTGGCTTGCGGGCTCTAGAGTGCGGGCTCAGTAGTTGTGGCGCACAGGCTTAGTTGTTCCACGCCATGTGGCATCTTCCCAGACCAGGGCTTGAACCAGTGTCCCCTGCACTGGCAGGTGGATTCTTAACCACTGTGCCACCAGTGAAGTCTCTCTTTATGATTTCTTTCCTTCGACTAACTTTGGGTTTTCTTTGTTCTTCTTTCTCTAATTGCTGTAGGTGTAAGTTTAGATTGTTTATTTGAGATTTTTCTTGTGTCTTGAGGTGAGCTTGAATTGCTCTGAACTTCCTTCTTAGAACTGCTTTCTCTGCATCCCATAGGTTTTTGGATCGTTGTGTTTTCGTTGTCATTTGTTTCTAGGTATTTTTTTATTTCTTCTTTGATTTCTTCAATGATCTCTTGGCTATTTAGCAGCACGCTGTTTAGCCTCCATGTATTTGTGTTTTTTACAGTTTTTTTCCTGTAATTGATTTCTAATCTCATAGCGTTGTGGTCAGAAAAGATGCTTGATACAATTTCAATTTTCTTAAATTTTCCAAGGCTTGATTTTTGACCCAAGATGTGGTCTATTCTGGAGAACGTTCGTGTGCACTTGAGAAGAAGTGTATTTTTCTGCTTTCAAGTGTAATGTCCTAAAAATATCAATTAAGTCCGTCTGGTCTATTGTGTCATTTAAAGCTTGTGTTTCCTTATTGATTTTCTGGCTGGATGATCTATTGGTGTAAGTGGGGTGTTAAAATCCCCCACTATTATTGTGTTACTGTCAATTTCTTCTTTTATGGCTGTTAGCATTTGCCTTTTGTATTTTGAGGTGCTCCTTTGTTGGGTGCATATATATTTATAATTGTTACGTTTCCTTCTTGGATTGACCCCTTGATCATTATGTAGTGTCCTTCCTCATCTCTTGTAACAGTCTTTAATTTAAAGTCTATTTTATATGATATGAGTATTGCTACTCCAGCTTTCTTGTGATTTCCGTTTGCATGGAATATCTTTTTCCATCCCCTCACTTTCAGTCTGTATGTGTCCCTAGGTCTGAAGTGGGTTTCTTGTAGACAGCATATATAAGGGTTTTGGTATTGTATCCATTCAGCCAGTCTGTGTCTTTTGGTTGGAGCATTTAATCCATTTACATTCAAGGTGATTATCGATATGTATGTTCCTATTAACCATTTTCATGACTGATTTGGGGTTGTTTTTGTGGGTCTTTTTCTTCTCTTGTGTTTCCCTCTTAGAGAAGTTCCTTTAGCATTTCTTGTAAAGCTGGTTTGGTGGTGTTGAATTCTCATAGCTTTTGTTTGTCTGTAAAGCTTTTGATTTCTCTGTCAATCTGAATGAGATCCTTGCTGGGTAGAGTAATCTTGGTTGTAGTTTCTTCCCTTTCATCACTTTAAATATGTTCTGCCACTCCCTTCTGGCTTGCAGAGTTTCTGCTGAAAGATCAGCTGTTAACCTTATGGGGATTCCCTTGTATGTTACTTGTTGCTTTTCCCTTGATGCTTTTAATATTTTTTGTTTGTATTTAATTTTTGAGAGTTTAATATGTGTCTCGGCGTGTTTCTCTTTAGGTTTATCCTGTTTGGGACTCTCTGCGCTTCCTGGACTTGATTGACTATTTCCTTTCCCATGTTAGGGAAGTTTTTGACTGTAATCTCTTGAAATATTTTCTCAGCCCCTTTCTTTTTCTCTTCTTCTTCTGGGACCCCTATAATTCAAATGTTGGTGCGTTTAATGTTGTCCCAGAGGTGTCTGAGACTGTCCTCAATTCTTTTCATTCTTTTTTCTTTATTCTACTCCCTGCCAGTTATTTCCACCTTTGTATATTCCAG